TAAACTGTTTTAGATTTAATTACTAGTTTTAAATTCGAATCTGTGATAATCTAGTTATATTATTGTCCTTCGTTGACAGGTTTTTACAGTTTACCATTGCTTACTATGCATACAATTAATTGTTCTCGTCACGATATGGCTGAAATATTGCCGATGTGACGTTAAATTTTAACTCACTCACTCACTCTATCAAGCTCATGAGCATCCAACTCATATTCCTCTGAACCACCAATTCCACTGACAAAGAACTTCACATTTCGACTGTCACTTTGTCTAACTCTTTGTTCCCCAACTACACTGATCTCAATGCTCTCACGTTAACCCTGCAAACCCAAACTCATAGCAACATCCTGGCGTATCAAAGTAGTGCCTGCACTACTATCAATCAAAATGTTACCCTCTCTGAAGCGACCACTGGGTGATCTTACCTTAGCTCTGATTACAGGCATGATACTAGGGACATGACAACCATTTGCTACATCAGGCATAGCACCACTGGCAGTTCAGGTGTCAACATGCAACAAGGTATGGTGTGTTCTAACAGACCCTTTACATCACGTTGCCGTTTAGATCTGCAATGTATTGCCCCATGGCCCTTAACTAAACGTGCAATACAAAGTATATTGTCTCTGACAAAGTCAACTCTCTCGGAAACAGGAATACATTTGAACTCAGACACTAATTCTGTGAAAATCTCTGCAAAAGTAGCATGTCACTGCCCTCTGTGCAGAATAAACACCATCTCTCTTGTCTCTATTTTTCTCTCTCTTGTCAAATGGAGCTGCTGATGCATGGATGACATCCCCAAAGTCTGGATCGCAATCAGCCCGCACTCTCTTCTGGATGTTGTCACTGATATCCTGTAGAATAGGATTTCTACCGTAGTCGCGAATCTCAGCCGCAATTGATCGCCATGGTCCAATAATGTTTTGGGGAAGCCTACCAATAATCGCTAAGAGGGATTCGATGCTGTTCACATCTGACATGTAGTTGAGTCTCTTGAGGGTCGCCAGACACCCAACAATGTCAATTAATAAAGTCCGCAGATTCTTCCTGTCATGAGGGTTCAGCTTTTCCACTTTGCACAGGCTGTTTATAAATGCACGTGCTATCACACTTCTCTGGCCAAACTGTCTCTTCAGTAACTTCAATGCAGTTGCATACATATTGCCCGAAGCACCTAACGCATCAATAGCACACTTTGCTTCACCTGCAAGATGTGCCTTCAGCTGAATCATCCTCTGATCGCCCTTAAGGCTTCTCTTCTCATGAATGTGGATCTTGAAGGACTCTATGAAATCTACATAAGTGAATGAATCCCCATTGAATGTACTCAGCTTAAATGGTGGAATGTCTCGTGCAGCCTCTAATTTGAAGATGACATCTGCCATAAAAAAGACTCAGTAGAAACTTCAAACTCAATCTCTTTAAACTCAACCAGGTCGTCAATTCAGTCACCAACAATGCCTGGGGCATGCACAGTTCTTCCATCCTTACCAGGTTTCCCTTTCACATCGTTGGTTACTGAAGACCAGTCATCAGTATCACCACTTTGCTTCTCTTTTTAACCATTGGCACCATTTTTCTCTCAGTCACTACCAAATGTTTTGTTAGTATCATCACAGCCTAATGCATCGGAAGAATCGGAGCTGGTCTCAATAACATCTTCTTTGCTCCTTTTTCGCCTTACTTCTGACTGTCCACTATCTCTGTATGACTCTACCTTCTCGACTACCTTGTAGTAGTCATTTGGAGACTTCTGACTCCCACTTATCAAGTCTGCTCTTCTGCGAAGGAATGATCTCATACATATTTGAATTGATATCCATCACTCTATCAAAGTCACGGGAAATAGGTTTTAATTTTCTTCTTATTATGTTCATGTTTCTTCATACTACCAGTCAACCTGTTTATAGCTGCCATAAGCTTAGTTCTGAGAACCTATCTCTTCTGTTTAACGTTTTTCTCTGGTTCAGCATCATGATCCCCTTGTTGTTCTATCTCCATAGTATTTTCTTTAGGAGACTCGTGCACTTCGACTTTTGTTGCCATCGTGAATCTCTCTTGTTTCCAACACCAAGTTGTCTATAGGGTGACGCTCTTGAACTCTTGAAATATATCTTCAGAAACTTTGGTGCAAACAACAAGTAATCATCTGAAGCTCGATTTATCTTCTGATATGTTAAATGCCATAAGCAAAGCACCAAACAATATTCTGTAAAGAATAGAAAAGAAACATTGCTTAGTTACAATGTAAATATGGTAATCTTCTAAGACATCTCACATCAATACTTTAATGATTATCAAATTATTGAACGAACTGCTCCAATACAGATTTCAAACTCTGGCTATAATAAACCCTCTTCTCTAAATACCATACACACGCAAATCCAAGCTAAGTAATAAAGCGTGTCAATGAATATAAAATTAAAAATCTATCAGTATTAGCAAAAAATTGTATGGATGGATGGATGGATGGATGGATGGATGGATGGATGGATGGATGGATGGATGGATGGATGCATGGATGCATGGATGGATGGATGCATGGATGCATGCATGCATGATCTGAACGTGATGCTTTGCACTAGGTACAGTGACAGACTATGTAAACAACCAGTGTCGCAAAATAGAAGCTTCCTGCATAAGGATTGACAGGTTATCGAGAATATAACTTTCTCGAAAATTGCTACATTTTCGCATTAATCGAACAAAACATGTCTTTATAAATGCAATAACGTTCAGATGATAATCCAAGACAAGAACGTAAGTAAAACGCACATATAAAACCGCAAATATCACTCAAATACACAACACCCCTACATGTAAAATAGACTCGCTTTAAGAAAACTGACATTATGGCATTTCCATCAGATTTTGAGTATTTTAAAACGCTTGCAATATAAAACACATATATCATCAAAACTTGCACATTGAAAAATAGTATTCACCTGAAGAGTGTATCTCTACGAGCTGAATATCAAGTTATAGCAACGAAAACATCTCTGCGTCATGTTGCCATGTTGTGCCACGTCGCGCTATCATCCCTTCCGGTGATGATGGCGAAACGAAAGGGAGTAATCATTAAAATTTGAAAATATACAAATGACGTTGAATCTATTCCAAACAATTTTAATAATTGTTAATTTAGAAGTAGTATACACGATAGCAAAACGGGACCAGGTCCTTCCAAAGGCTTAATTTTCCAAGTTAAGCCATGTTAAGTCCCCAATCCCTAACCGTTATTGTGTATATTACTCGCAGATGTGCATGCAAAATTTCACGAAATTCCGTAAAACAGTTTCTGAAATATTGCCTTTTGAGCGAGCATGGGTTCTGTCTGGCGAAAGGCTAGCTATCCAACGTATTCCCGTACTTGTTATAAAGTAGCGAGACGAGAGCCTCTTGAATCTAAATCATGCCGCTGTGAGCTAGTCGCAGTGTGTGTGTGTGTTTGTGTGTGTGTGTGCGTGTGCGTGCGTGCGAGCGTGCGTGTGCGTGTGCGTGTTTGCTAGTGCTAGTGCGTGTGTGTGTGTGTGTCGGCTCGGCTCGGCTTGTACAGCCGACTGGCTGGCTGGCTACGTTATGTTGATGTCTGCGAAACAGTTTATTGTGAATCTCCTTCTATGATTTGTTTGGTTTTCATAATGAAGTCTTGCCAGGCCTCTTGCCTCCCTTGTTCTATGAACTTTTTTTTCTCGTCCTCGCTGATGGAAGTGCTTTGACGAGTCTGAGTTCGAATCTCTTGCTTAATTCTATGATACTTGGCGATTTCTGAGATCACCAAACGAAACTCTTCCTCTGAGTCGGTGAGCACGATGGAAATGTGATCGTCTATGTTTAGCTTCGCTTCGGCTAGAATTCTAATTCCGTCGTGTTTCAATGCTTTACGTTGCAGTTTACGATATACATACTTAAGGGCCAATTCCGCCAACACTGCCACTCTGGCTGTTATTTCGATGCCTAACACCACAGGTGTGGCCACGATAGCGGATAACAACCTGACACCTGTCGCGCCTAATCCCATGCTCGTTGCCATCAAAACGGTGTCAGCACCGTCCACAGAATTGACAGCCCTGTGATATTTTTTCTGTAATGCTGACCGTGTATAGTTGTTGTTTCATCTAACATAACTGTCGCAAACGAAACCCGTCTACTGTTTCCAGTGTTTTTGCTATTTCATCCGCGACTGGGTATGACTTGCTTAATCTGCGGATTGGGCACGCCTCACTACGTAATCCCTTGGTACGAGCAAGACATATTGTGATCATCTTATATGTTTTTATTGCAAAAGGAGAGACATATTAAAACACGATGATACGAAATTTATTATAATATTTATAACACCCTATTTAGAACCTCTATTTATTCAAACATTTTCGATTCCTTGGATGACAGTGGCTTGAACACATACTACCTGATCTCTGTAACATACACAAAAGTATATCATACTGTCTTTGTTTAGTTCGTCACACCATAACACCTGTTCATATTCACTTCTTGAAAATACAAACAATGTATCACTGTTGATTAAACGTACAAGCTTAATTTTGTCCGCCATCTCAGTGCAACTGTCAGTCGACTACTGGCAGACAAACTATGAAACACTATTCATTGTCAACACAAGCTCAACTAGGTTTCTAACTCCACAAACCCGGCTTGCTCAATCTGTGGGATTACGCACATTAATTAATAGCTCAACCCATGGGAATTAGCACTACTTATTGTGTAATGACAGGATTTTGGCAGAGTGTCGCCCATTCTTGGAGGTTTCGCAAATGTCTTGCGTAATTCGCGGATTGGGCAATTCCGTAAATTACGCACGACATATATATGTCAGTGTGTGTGCTCGCTCGTGCGTGTGTATGTGTGTGTATGCATGTAGTATTTATAGGGATTTTGTTTTTGGTCAATAAACACAGTCAATAAACACTGAGGTATTTACAGTACAAAAAACCCAATGCATAAAATTTTGTATACAACATGATAACATGACACAGACGTTTTGTGTTCAGATAAGGACCGACGTAATGGCCTTAATCTCTTCACCTCTGGGACAAATTCATCTGACCCCACAGAAGGACATCTATGTCACTCAGTTAGTGGACGTCCTGACGGTACAGACATCTCTGATGTCCTGAATGTCACCTGTCCCTCTACCTGGCGCTACCTGACTGCCTACACAGAGACTGATAATGATGGTTATGGTCCTGTGTTGGACTTCGTTGAAGTACAGGTGTGGTGTAAGTATAAAATGACAGGCAAGCAAGAAATCGGCAGCCAGACAATAATCAACATCACACAAACCAGTGGTTGATTTTATGAGCAAATTACACGAAAACAGAGCACATGGAAATTGTTGGCAAAGTTGCCGATTTCTGACAGCTTTGCCTGCTGTAGTCAAGTAGACGGATCTTTCCATCTTTAAGTGTCACACATGATATGATCAAAAGACTAGTAAGTTTGTTATTTCCTGTATAAGAAATAAACACTATGCATCTAGATCGCCAATGCCAATATGTGTCAGATCAAAGGCTACGCCATGCACTGGAAGCTTTAGTCTTGTGTCAGATAGTAGAATCATTCTCTGAATCATGCCTTTGGCAATGGAAGCCCTATCACAATGACTCTGACTTTTAATTAAACTAACGTGACAAAAACGTCGAAATTACTTACACATAGTTAGTGCATATTGGTCTTGTATCTTACTGAAATCAAGCATTCCTGGCAACACACTGACTTAACTTAATACATTGATATGCTTATGCTGTTGGAAAAACAGGAATCTGTGTTGGTAGATGTGTGGAAAAAAACAATAAATTCTCCCCATACACGATAATTTCAATTTGTTTTAAAACCCTATCAATTAAATCAGAAACTAGTTGCTCTTTTTGTAAAATGTGGTTTTATGACTGAGTCAGGGATGTTTGTAATACTGTTCCCGTGATATTTGTTCCGTCAATATTGTAAGCATGTCTAAATAGCTCAAAAGCAAAATGAATGGTCCTGTCCTTATCGTACTTGCAATCGAAGAAAGAGTTTCTTTTTCGTCTTCGTAATTCTTTGACTTAGGGGTTTGAGTTCACACAAATTTTATTAATTCTCATTAATATAAATATTTGATTTGAGAACAAAGGAAGTTAAACATACCTCAATACTCTGATTGATATGTCCCGTTAAATAATCCTCTTGAATATGTTTTTACAAACTGGAGTAACGAATACACAATATTATTTCCAAAGCACATCCGATAGCTGCTGAAATTGATGGTCCTGCTGCATTGATCATGCAATGGCCTGACTGCAGTTGGAGCAGTGTAAACAGTTCACATTTGAATATACCAGTGATTTAAGAGAAAAGTGACGTCACTCATCTGTACGTGTATTTCAGCGTGTGCGTCTGGTCGTTATGGAGCCAGCTGTAGCATGGAGTGCAACTCTCGTCACTGTCACAACACAGGGGACTCCTGTAATTCTGACACAGGAGCGTGTTCAAATGAAGGCTGCCAACCAGGATGGGCAGGACCAGACTGCACAGGTATATACAGGATTGTACGTTGATGTGCAATGTCAATTTATATCATGTTGTAAGGCAAGTTTTTGTTATTAGACGATATGTGTAACATAATCATATTACTGTCTATAACAGTACCAAGCTGTGTGTGATAAACATAAATATCTAAAATATATAACCCCACAAATCAACTCATCGTATCCCTTCAAATTACATCAGTGTGAATAATGACGTTACCTACATCCAAATTGATCACAAGTAATTATACACTTCCTCGTATAACACATTATGCCTCTCAGTCTGTGCCATTGGGAGACATGGAGAAAGATGTAGCAAGTACTTCAGTAACTGTCGCTGTAACTTTTACCTCTGAGTACTTTTCGTGGTGTAACGTCTCACTGGCTTATTGCAGTTTAGATCCCAGCCTTACAAAACTGCTTTTGGGGCTACAATATTTGTATATGGGTGATGCAAAAGACAAATACACTAGCCTACTGTGTTTCGTGTGGTCAGCCAGTCTGTCTGGTGTGTACTGGCAAATGTCTTATCACCAGACAATTGAAGCTTGTAATGCTTAGGTACCACTTGGGATAAATGACTACATGTCTTTTTATGAATGATATGACATGATCAAAAGAGTATTAAGTTTGTTATTCCCTGTATAAGAAATAAACATTATGCATCTAGATCGCCAATGCCTCTATGTGTCAGATCAAAGGTTACACCATGCCCTGGAAGCTTTAGTCTTGTGTCAGATAGTAGAATCATTCTCTGGATCATGCCTTTTGGCAATGGACGCCCTATCACAATGACTCTGACTTTGAATTAAACTAACATGACAGAAACTCCGAGGCAACTGACGTCGAAATCACCTACACATTGTTAATGAATATTGGTCTTGTATTTTATTGAAACCAAGTATTCTTCGTAACACACTGAATTAACTTAATACATTGACATGCCAATGCTGGTGGTCAGTGGATTTTCTTTTCCAGACTCGATTACTTGCAGACCGGCTCCATACAGCCTGAATATAGCTGAGTGTGGCGTTCAGCAACATACGCCCAAACAATAATACATAGATATGTAATAACATAAATATGTTCTAGTATTCGTCCCCAGATATCATGGAACTAGTCCTAACAACATAGCAGTAACCGTTATTGCAAGAAATGTTCTATATGTGATGGAAGAACAAGAATCTGTGTTGGTAGATGTGTGGAGAAAACAAAGAAAATCTCCACATTCACGATAATTTCAATTTGTTTTAAAACCCTATCAATTAAATCAGAAACTAGTTGGGGTTTTTTAAATATGGTTTTATGACTAAGTCAGGGATGTTTGTAATACTGTTCCCGTGATATTTGTTCCGTCAATATTGTAAGCATTTCTAAAAGGCAAAATGAATGGTCGTCTCCTTATCGTACTTGCAATCGAAAAAAGAGTTTCTTTTTCGTCTTCGTAATTCTTTGACTTAGGGTTTTTGTTCACACACATTTATTTAATTCTCATTAATATAAATATTTGATTTGAGAACAAAGGAAGTTAAACATACCTCAATACTCTGATTGATATGTCCCGTTAAATAATTATCTTAAATATGTTTTTACAAACTGGAGTAACGAATACACAATATTATTTCCAAAGCACATCTGATAGCTGCTGAAATTGATGGTCCTGCTGTATTCATCATGCAATTCACGTAAGATGAAGGACGAATGCGCTGGCACGTCAATCGCCGGCTACGTCAGCTTGAGACCCAAGATGTATTCCATCAAGAAAGCAGACAACGACAAAATCAGAAAGGCGAAAGGCGTGAAAAAAACATGTGGTGAAAAAACACATCAAGCACGCCAGATTCAAGGAAGCCCTGTTCAAGAAAAAAAATGTTCAAACACCAGATGAACATGCTGGGAAGCGACGGACACAGGTTGTATGAACTGAGAATTAACAAGACGTCGCTGTCTCACATGGACACGAAATGTCTCAAACTCCACTTACTCGTACGGACACACGCACATATTAAATAATTAAAACGCACGCAATACATACATAATGGAGAATATTTATTACAGCTCATGCGGGTACTGGAAAGGTGATGATGCCATCCCTAAACTCGCCAAAGCCGCTCGAGTCTCAGAAGACGTTGCCAAAGCTTGGTTTAAAAAAACAAGCCATCTGGCAAGTCTACCTGCCGGCGCACATGTAATTCACAAACTCTTCGGACATTATCTGTATGCCGCAATATTCGATGGTGCATTTCCTGCAGCAGGTTTCGGTTTTTCCTAGCAGCACATACTTGCAGTTATACGGTGCACGTCTTCCATCTTTATGTATATACACTTATATTTTTAGTCTTATTGTTTGGCAATCAACACGGTCGCCGCTAGACACAGCGCCATGAAAATCAGTTCTCCATGGCCAAATCGTGGCGTTTACGTTCCACTTCCACTTCAGCCGCATTCGACGTTCGTAATTTGGAGAAGAGATAATTGCTGCCGGAAAATGCGAGGGCATTGACTAATGCACCACCGACCATCATAGCGATCATAGCCATTCTTTTTATATTATGTGTTTTTTAATATTACTTCAAAATATTTTCTGGTATAATTCCTTGTTTCACGAGAATGTCCTTGGTGGCCATTGCCATCCCGAAGTCCATGACGAGAATGCCCATGTCCTGCACGTTGAAAACGAGTTTGATCATCGCTGTTTGAGAGCCATTCTCGTTAAGCGAGGGTATCCTACGGTTAGTCCGGTGACCACGGTGGTGTGATATGCATCGTTGACAAAAGTTTTTTTCTTCGGACAGCATCGTGTGTATATAAAATATACATATAGTTTTTTAACAGAAATTATAACATAACATGCAGATTTATTTATAATTACGTCGTCTGCTGTTGCTGTGGTGGTGGTTGTTTGTTATTATATAGCAGCATAACAACGACCACGCTTAATCCCGTTGCCACGGTGGCAACAATCCACAGAGTGTAATGGGTATTATTATTATTTTTGTGGTGCTTGCTAAACCAACCTTTTCAACCGGGGGCGACTTTTTTAGGATTCTTCGTGGTGACTAGTTGTATCGGTGTTGTCATCTTCGTTGCTTCCTCCGTTGCCGTTTCCTCATCCTGTTGCCCATTCATGTTGTTTAAAGTTATTTTCATTATTATTTTTGTCTTCTTGGCAATTCTTTGCTGCGATTAATGCCGCGGTCATCGGAGCCAAAAACATGCTGTATATGTTGCAGTTGCAGCTGACTGAACGGATCTTTTTCGAGATCTTCCCACTGGTAAAGTCGACGTTCCGGCAGAATGGGAAGGAAGTACGATGCTACGCCGGCGTAGACCTGCGTTATGACAGACCCTATGGTTTTCTTCATTTCGGCGCCAAATCTGGCTTCATATCTCCCATAGAGCTTGTCGATTTCTTTAGCTTGCATTTTGTGTATTTTATCGGGAGTGTGGTCGCCCCCACCCAAGTATTGTTTGGCTTTGCCACCAACCGGAAGCGCCGCCAGTCTCTCCTGCTTGCCGTTTTTATTATCATCGTCATCCAAATTTTTTTAGCAGTTCGTCACACTCCATCCTATAATGTAACAAACGAGTTTTAAGTCTAATAAAATCAAATCCGATGTACGTGAAACACAGCGAGATGAAAGTCAATTTGTTTCGGCAAGCTGTTTGTGCAGCCTGCCACCATCCGTGGATCGCATGTCCAGCCACAGCGCGTAATGTTTATCAAGGTTATCACCAATCGTCACGTAGGGCAAACCCAGTTCTTTGATGACATTGTTCACTTCATGCGAGTGCCACTTGATGGCCGGTAGTTTTCTTATCTCGTCCCATTGCTGATGAGCTTGCAATGCCTTGGCTGAACAGCTGGTTGGGAACGCCCTCGACTGTCACTTCCACTTTTGTGATCTTGGGATTCAAAATGAGTTTGCTGTCTCATTGAAACGGCTCGTATTCCGTCACCATGCCTTTCATCTATCGAGCCGGCACGTTCAGGTTGATGTTCCACAATGTGTCGCTCTTGATGATCAGATTTGGGAATTGAACCAGCAGCATTTGGTTTTGGTCGATTGTGCTCAGGTTGTTGGTGATGGTCACCAACTAACACACAGCTTTGACACAGAGTGGCTCTCTCGATCTCCGGAAAGGATCTAGCTTTCGTCCGTATTGTGACATTGTTTATATTGAAACTATATTATAAGTTCAATATAAAAAATATAAAAATGGCTGACAATATTCAGACGGACGATTTCGACGTCCAGCCTCTGCTGAACGACAATGATGCAGCATTTGACACTTCGTTCATGGGGGACACCGTGGGCAACGAACGTTTTATTATGATGCATTTAAGCTCAATATAAAAATTACGTCGAGCCATTGGGTCGGGACTATCCGAAGTTCAAAATCGACAACAAAGGGACGCTATGATTGAAAGCCCACACAGAGGTTGATCTCTGGATGAACTGCATCAGGTTGTTAAACCAACCGTGTACCGTTTTCACAGTCGTCAACGAAAATCTGTATTTCTTAAACACGTCGATGAACTGAACTATGATATGTGCTATGCTTTGCATCGACCACAAGACTCGGTTGCGTGAGATCGGTAGCACTTATATTATCACTTTTAGAATAAAACACTCCCGGTTTGTACATATTGAATTGTTATATTAAATTTTAGTATACATATCTACTTTTCAATATGTACGTGGCGCTTCCGGGAATAACGAGCAGCGAGTCCATTCAACTGCTTCATACCATTGATAACACGTCCGGTTAGCTCGAAGCCGCAACCAAATAACGGACGGCTACTACAGTGTGTGCTCCCTCAGCGAAGAAATCTTCAAACCCGTGGGAGCTGAACTCAAAATGAACGACTTGAACGGCACGGTCATGTTATCCAACAACGGAAAAACGACTTGAGACTCAATAAGCTGTTGGCTAAAATGCCTGTTTTTAAACCACCGTGATTGGTATAAAATTACTCGATCTCGTTCCGTGCATTCATCTCGA